TAAACCTTGAAGAGACAAGTTGTATTTGTATTAAACATGTATAGAGTCCTCCCTCTCTTGTTCCCAACACATTTACATCAACCATTTACCAAATTTACAGGGTACCAGGTATTATAAAAGTAGGCATAATAGATTAATGTAAAATTGTGATATTAATTTAGGTTCCTAGTTATAAAATTGGAATTGTGGCTCATTGAGAATTCTAAAAGCATGGTACACAATTACTTGTGGTATAAAAACAACTTATTTATGGCAAGGAACAGAGCCACAACCTTCTGCTTCACAGTGACCACAAGACTATACCAGCTCTCTTCACCTATCCATAAAATGATATTAAACATCTGTACTGCATGGGCACATTCTAAGACTCCCCAACAGAGGTTCAAAACAAGGAGTATCTATGAGATAGCCTCATAAAGGATACTCTCTTTGCTAGAAGCTAAATTTATCTCCAGAATAGTAAAGAAAACGTGGTCAAAACTTCGGTAGAATTGTCCAAGAATCAAGTAACTACTAGAGATTGGAAATAATTTTGATGTTTTACTTTCATATTATTGTCTAACTCCATGGGATGCTAATATATCTACACTGCAAATTCAGCACATACATGCACAATCTCCCCCACCTTCTCATATAAAACCAAACTCATCACCTTTACTAACTGGTCTAAAGTACTTAGGTCAGTTAGGGACATTGGACATTATTTAATTCACCCATCTTATTTCATAAGTAGGAAACCATTAATGTTCCTAAACCGTGCACTCTAAAAGGAGAGACACATGGAATTGAAAAGTAGAAAAAAATCTGTTTTTAGACAAGAAGCATAAATATATACTGCATATATATAATGTATTTGTGGCATTACTATTTATTTAGGAAGTTATTAGGAAAATATTACCAGAAAGTTTCTCCTAAGGGGATAATGATGAAATAAAAATTGAGAGATATGAGGTCAGACTTATCCGAGGGTTCAAATATCCTCATTAAATATGGCCACAGTCCAGTCTCCTATAGATATCCACACATTCTATCGTGTGAAATTGTATACTTCTGTATACAATATTTATCAACTTGTCCTCATCTATGATAACAGAATATTGTTTGGAAGCTCTTAAAATTACTGAAGTTAAGTAATAAAGTTGATAAGTAAAATATTACTTGTGTTTCATCACTGGTAATTTATTTCTAAAAATATTGTGTAGAATAAAAGGAACTCTTAATTTTATGCATATTTGTTTTCATGCATATGTGTATGAATGGAATGAGCTCACTCGGACTGATGTTGAGGGTGAGGCAAAGGTGAGACCGTTTGGGGTATGAGTGACAGCGGGGAGCTTGAAGGTCTTGTGGCTTCCACAAAGGAGAGTGATCAGACCCGAAGCATCCTAACTTCCAACTACCTTTAACATTCTAGTAGACAGAAGTGCGCACATTACCTTGAGATCAGTGATAGTCATTTGAAATAAATTCATAGGTATAAAACTCAACAGAACCAACAAAGGGAATAGAAGCCTATCACATACCCTAACTCAAGATTCTTAGAGCAATACTTCACTATTTTCTTCAATAGGGCAATAAAACTAATCATAGCAATATAGATTTCCCCAAATGGAGAGAATTCATGAGAAATTGTCATGTGAAAATTGGGACCTATATTTTCCTTCTGAAATTTGGTCCCATGCTGGGACGCAGCTCTATGTTAGCACTGCGAAAAGTGGGTGATGTGCAAATTCTGTAAGCCTGGGGATTTCTTTTCTTCAAGAGGAATTGGACCCTAGGGAGATGGCTCCACAGTGAAGAGGGCTTACTGCTCTTGTAAAAGATCTGGGCTTAGTTCCCAGCCCCCACATGGCATCTCACAATCACTTGTAACTCCAGGCACTTTCTTCTGGCCTCTGAGGGTTCCTACATGCACTTGGGGCATATAAACTCATGCACAGAAACACAAATAAATAATAAATATTTTAAAAGAGGAATTACTATAAGATTTTCAAATATCTGAATGTGAAAACTGGAGCATCAGCTGATGCTATCCTTTTTTGGCCACACATCTAAAGAAACACACTGTGAATGATGTCCCTGTGTTGTAAGATTTGTAAATCTACCTAGAGAATGGCAGCCCCCAAAATCATTGTAGTCATTATCAGGAGGTCAGTTGCCTAGTTACAGGTATAAGGACAATATAT